TTCAGCAGACCTCTCACCTCACCCCTCAGGGTCCCTCCTAGATCTGGACACAGGGAGGGGCAGTGAAGGCCCCAGAGCCTGGTATGGTTCCTCACAAGCCTATGGCCACCCACCGGGCCTGATTGTCAGCATTCTCTCTCCTGCAGGATGAGAACATGGTGAGCTTCATCAAGGGCGGCATCAGAGTGCGAAACAGCTACCAGACCTACAAGTGAGTGGGGCTGGCCAGCGCGAGCCGGGAGGCCCGGGGCCACCGCAGCTACAACCCCGTCCCCCTCAGGCTGCTTACAGGGGGCAAAGTGCCAACTAGCTAGAGACCAGGAACCAAGACTGCCATGTGACCTCAGCAGGTGCCTGCCTCAGTGTTCTGGAATAGTGTTCCCCGGGTTTTCTGGCTCTATCTGTTCATGTGGTCCCCTGAGTGCTTCCTCTGGGCCTGACCCTCTGCGATGGGAACACAGGACCAAGGTTCTGTACAAACAGCTTGGTCTGATGGGAGCAAGGAACAGATCGTAGGGACCGTCACTTTAGAAACAGCAGCAGATCTCCTACACAGCTGTTAAGGTCCAGTCCAAATGCCACTTCCCCCACGAAGCCCTCCTCGATCCTTCTGGTATACAGGGATGATATCCACATGCACATACCCCAGTTCCCTGAGGGCCTGAATCATTTCCATGCTTCTGGGTCCCTAACATTCAGCTCCTGTTGATGAGTGAAAGAATGAAGATTCATTCCAGAGCACTTCCACCCAATATGGCTCCACAATCTCATTGCTACCATTCCCAAGTCAGAAGAAGCTCTGAAAACCGAGTTTTTCCCACACAAATTTACATGGAAACTTACTTCCCATGAAACGTTGACTAGAGACGATCTGTCGTCTTTATCTCCCCCTGTAGTGTGCCTGTTGCCCCGCAGAGCCAGCCGGGTTTGGTTATGATATCGCTGGACTGGAACGCACCATCCAGCCCTGGCCGCTGCCTTACTGTGGGCTGTGCTGGAACTGCCCAAGGAAAACCAGACAAGCGCTCTGTGCTCCGGCCTCCCTGCCGGCTCCAAAGCACACACCTTGTCGGGGCGTCCCATCCCAGGGCTCCTTTTGTTCTTTGAATGAAGTCCTGGGCTGTTGCCAGGTTGTTCCGGGAGCTCTGCCCTGCCCTCCTTGCCACCTCACTACCTCAGACCCTTGCACCTTCCCTCAGCTCATCACATCTGCCAGGCTGATGCCGGGCCAGGAACGCTGTTCGATGCCTACGACTCACAGGACAGCCATGCCTCTGCCCTCTGGCCCTGAAAAAGAACTATCTAGCCTAGAATGTCAGGAGTTCCAAGTTGAGAACCCGTTTCTGTACGGGGTGCAGAGCACAGGTGCTTGCCTAGAAGCTGGACAAGGCAGAATGCATTGGAACCAATGGGGGTAAAATTCGGGTTGAAGAGTGTACGGCCATGGTGGAAGATGGGGTTAGAAATTCCTCGAATATCAGCTCTCTGGATCGCCAGAGCTGTAGAATCTGCTACCAAGGAGTTCTGAGATCAGCATGGGTGGGAGAGAGCCTTAGAGCCTGGTGGAATGGACCAAGCCAGCCCATAGCTGCCAGCCTGCAGCTGCCGACCCCCACCCCAGTCCCTCACCCCCCCAACCCCTAGTCCACAGTCTGCTACTGCAATAGGACCTCGCATCTCCCTGCAGGGAGCTGGACACCCTGGTCCATTCCTCCCAGTACTGCAAGGGAGAGAGCCACAGGCACTTTGAGGGAGGCGTGAAGCTTGGCGTGGGAGCCTTCAACCTGGTGAGTGCGGTGCCCCTCCCCCACATTTCCACAGGGGAGAAATCTCCCCTGCATGTCCCGCCCTATACGCGGTCACTGCAGCCACTGTGCCTGGCTGTGTGCTGGGCACTGAGACCCCAGGAAGGGCACGTCTGTGCACGTCTTCCCAGGTCAGGTCAGTAGCCTGAGATCCGCAGCGGTGGGAGTCTTCATGGCACCAGCCTCAGTACACGCGGGCTTTTCCACATGCCGGGCTTTTTCTGCCCTGGACAGAGTGCCAAACACTTACCAGACAGGGGAGGAGGCTGCTGATGACGCACAAGGTGCCCAGGAGAAGCCTCTGACAGAGAGAGCCAAGTCCTCTTTCTGGGGTGAGGGAGCCCTTGAGCTGGACTCTGCCAGGTGGGGCATGGAGTCCAGGCAGAGGGACCAGTGCGAGCACCACCGGGCCTTGGGAGAACCTGCCTGCTCATGGGATGCAGAGCTGCTCCGGGGAGGCACAGGCCCTCGGCCCGGGGACCTTTCCGAAGGTGTGCGTGCTGGGTGGGTGGGTGGTGGTTCCCTCCCGCAAGGTGAAGCCTGTCCAGAGAGCAGGCCTGACAGTGGGGTCACTGCCCCTCGCTGGGCCCCCACATGCCCACCTGCCTCTGTGCCCACAGACGCTGTCCATGCTCCCAACCAGGATCCTGCGGCTGCTGGAGTTCGTGGGGTTTTCAGGGAACAAGGTAACCACCTGCCTTCCAGCTCCAGACCTGTTGGGCTGGACAGGCTTGGGCTGAGGGGCTGCAGGGCCTGGGGCCAGTCCTGGCTAAGCCCCCTGACTGCAGCCTGGATGAAGCCCAGACTCTTTGGCCCTCAGTCGTTTCTCCAGTCTAATGGGCCAGTGATCCTGGCCTGGCCTTCCACGGGGTGGGGAGGCTCTGGGGTGGGGGTGGGAGTGGAGGGCAGCCTGGAGTCCCAGCCCCTGAGCCTGACAGGTGCCAGGAGCCTGGTCCTTCTCCCCTGAGACACCCCCTCATCTCAACACTTGTAGCAAGTCTTTCCCTCAGGACCGTTTTCTGGGGGTCCTACCTCATCCAGGAGATGCCCAAGGGAAGCCCTGCTGTGCTTTGGACCTTGAGGGTAAACTAGAGAACGCAAGCACCAGAGGCTTTAGTGAGGGAAAAAGCAGTACCAGCCCCCAATTGAAAGTAGCACATCAGGGAGAGCTCCCTGGTAGAGGAGGCCTGGTGTGATGGAAGGAGCTTTGGCCTGGAAGTTGAAGGTCCTGAGTCAGTCCAGTCTCACCCGCTTCTACTTGTGACTCTGAGCAAGTCTCTTCCTCCTCAGAGCCTCTTTTCAGTAAAACAGGGGGTTGTATACAGCTCAGATAAATGCTTCTAAGATGGGCATTTCCTCTGGCCCTTCCTGATAATTGTCACGCCAATGAACTTTTATATTATTACATACATATTCTTCCTCTCAAAAAGGCCTCATAATTGGACTTAAGTTTATTTAAAAGAAACATTGCTATAGGGCCAGCGAGGTGGTGTGGTTGAGGAGACCGAATTTCACACAGCTGACTGCACAGTTTGAGTCCCAGACCTGGTGGCTTGAAAGACATTCCATGTGCTACTCGTCCAAAATCCTGAGGAGATGGAAGGAGAAGGGACTGTGGCATGGCCACCCCCTGTGGGCGGTGCTTTCTCATTTTCTCTCTCTCTGTCTGTCTCTGTCAAACACATAAACCCTATAGCAAGTTAAAAGAGAGAGAGAGAGAGAGAGAGAGAGAGAGAGAGAGAGAGAGGCCGGTATCGGCCATCCCGTGCCCTCAGGGACACTGGCTGGAGGCCCCGAGACCCTTTCAGCTTTGTTTTAATTTTTCATTGCCAGAGGGCCTGTGTACTTTCCAGGGAGAGACACAGGGAGATAAGAGAAAGAGGGGTGGAGAGAAGGTGAAGGCACCCCGCAACAGGATGCAGACATGCCACAACCCCTATCCTCCATTTCTCCATCCTGTCAGGATTTGGGGCACACGTGTACATGTGCCTGGTGTGTTTTTCTTTTTTTCTTATTGAGAGATTTTTGCTGTAGGGTGTGTGCACTCACCAGAAAGAGACAGAGAGACAGAAAGCAAGAAATCATCCCCCGGGGAGATGGCCACACCACAATCCCTTCTCCATTCTCCTCTTGGGCACACACACACACACACACCTGGTGTTAGTTTTAAGCTGCCAGGTACAGGACTCGAACCACAGTCAACTATGTGGGAATCCAGCGACATAACCATTATGCCATTTCAAGGCATTGAAGCCAGTATTTGAGCCATAGATGACCATGTGGGATCTGGCTCCCTGAACCACTGAGCTACAGAGCCAACCCCCAGTTTTGTTTTCTTAAGGCCCCGATGGGACCAGCAGATGGCATAATGGTTATGTCACTGGACTCCCACATAGTCGACTGCGATTTGAGTCCTGGACTTGGCAGCTTAAAACTCACACCAGTGCATGTGCGTGCATGCCCAAGATCCCTGGAGGAGAAGGGACTATGGCATGGACATCCCCCCAGGGGGTTATTTCCCGCTTTCTGACTCTGTCTCTCTGGGGAGCACACGTGCCCTATACCAAAAATCTCTTAAGAAAATAAAAGGCCCCTGAGACATGAGCAGGATTTCAGGGTGGTGAAGGGAAGGAAGAGCAGGAGGAACGCCCAGGGTTGGACGCTGTGGCCCACCTGGCCAGGCCAAAAGGCTGGGGGGCCTGACTGAGAGGGACCTTCAGTGCCATCTCTCACTCGTTTTGTCCCGAAGGCAGGGGAGCCATGAGGGTTTGATGCTGGGTGAGGCAGGTCTGATTTGTGGTTTAGAACCAATAAGAGGTTCTGGAGGACAGAGGGGCAAGGGCTCCCAGCTCCTTCCCAGCCAGGCTCCAGAGACCTCTCTTCCAGGAAGCCTTCCCAGATGCCTGAGCTGGTAGTTAGGATTATTGCCTCCTTGTCTTCCTCTTCCTGGCCAGACCTGGACTTCCAGGGCCCCAGTGCCCAGCACAGAGAGAAACGGGTAGGGAACCCACAAGTCCCAGCCATGCCTTGCCCTGGCCTCTCCCAAGAAGGTGGCTGAGGTCCATGAAAGATAGCCCTTTGCTCAGGGTCCCAGTGCCTGGGAGTGGCTGACAGCTTGTCAGTTTTGGACCCAGTCCAGAGCCCGTACGCCCCTGCTCTGGCACCCTCACAGCTGCCGGGGACCTCCCAGTCCCTGCCGCTCCTGGGCCTCTGAGCCTGTCCCTCTGTCCCCAGGACTACGGGCTGCTGCAGCTGGAGGAGGGCGCGTCGGGGCACAGCTTCCGCGCCGTGCTCTGTGTCATGCTGCTCCTGTGTTACCACACCTTCCTCACCTTCGTGCTCGGTAGGAGCGGCCATCTGCGGGGAGCGGGCGGGCGCTGGGCTGCCAGGCCCTGCTGGGGAGGGGGCCCTGAACCATGACAGCAGAGCCGGGCACCTGGGCCTGGCCGGTGACCACGCACTGCCTCACCAGCCCCCGTGCTCTCCTCTGTGCAGTGGGGCGGCTGTGCTCCGTGGGGGTGTGATGACACTGCAGGGAGCCCCGTGGTTCTGAGCACTATCTTGGTGGCCGTGAGCTCCAGGCTGTGAACCCGGTGACATGCTGGAGTGCTACTTAATCCCTGCCTCCCGGTGGAGATAGGAAGGACATTACCCCTTTCACAGAGGGCAGGTCGAGTCCTGAGAACCCCCTAGCAGGCTGCTGGGAGGATGACTGGAGCCGGGGTGGTGGCATGTGTGTCCCCTCCCACCCAGGTACCGGGAACGTTAACATCGAGGAGGCCGAGAAGCTCTTGAAGCCCTACCTGAATCGATACCCGAAGGTGAGCCCCGCCCACTGCCAGGCATCCCGAGCCCACAAATGCCCCATGGACCCCCGGACCCCCGTGCTTGTCATTGCAGGGTGCCATCTTCCTGTTCTTCGCTGGGCGGATCGAAGCCATTAAAGGCAACATTGATGCGGTGAGTGATGGTGTCTGGACGGTGGTGGGGTCCCCCGCAGTTTCCCAGACTAGCAGAAAAGTCAGCCACACACAGACGGACTCAGGGACAGGGCAGATGGGGCCGGGGGGACCACAGTCAACTATGTGGTGACCATGCGCGGAGAGGCCAAGCAGAGAGCAGGCGCGGGGAGGCACTGCCACCTGAGGCAGTCGGGGAGACCAGGGAGGAGCCGCGTTTGAGGTGAGTAGGACTGATGGGAGATCCAGGCCTACGGTATTCCTGGAGAGGACGGTGCTTGAGGGACGCGGGGGTGGGAAAGGCAGCTTGTTGAGGGCTCGGTGAGTGAGGGCGGTGCTGGCAGGTGAGGGATCCACAGAAAGGGTTAAGATGGGGAGGGTCATGATCCTGGCAGAGACCCCAGCACCGAGCCAAGGCCCAGGACAGACTAAAGTGTGGAGTTCTGAGGTGTCCAGCTGGCCCTGGTTGTGATTCCCAGGCCGCAGGACAAATGTCCCAGTCCAGATAACCTCATGGAAGCTTCTGGAACCTGTGGCGTTTACACCGAGGCACACTGTCCACTGACTCTTATTCCATGCATTACAACTCTGTCCCTCCCTTACCTTTTGTGACCAAAACACCAGAGTCCTAGCTGGGCCCAAGCTCATACATAACTTAGTGGGTAGAGCCAGGGCTGGAGGCAGTTCTGGCACCTTGGCCCCCTCCTGAGCTTGTCACAGGCTGAACCACCATGCCCTGGGATAAGCCAGGTCTGCTGTGGAGCTGGGAGGGCACCAAGGGCGTGGCGGGGCGGGGCGGCACACGCCAGGCTGACCAGCAGATGCCCGCAGGCCATCCGGCGGTTCGAGGAGTGCTGTGAGGCCCAGCAGCACTGGAAGCAGTTTCACCACATGTGTTACTGGGAGCTGATGTGGTGTTTCACCTACAAGGGCCAGTGGAAGATGGCCTACTTCTACGCCGACCTACTCAGCAAGGAGAACTCCTGGTCCAAGGTGGGCTGAGGCCACGTGTCGGGGGGGGCTGGGAGACAGGCTGACCCAGTCTGGCCACGTGTCCCAGACTGAGCTCCAGACCCCTGACTGCCACAGAGGGGTCAGCAGAACCTAAACAGAACCGTGCATTCCAGCAGGGCTCAGGTTGGAAGGAACCAAAGACTGTGAGGAGCAGAGAAAGTTGTAACTCCAGTGTGCCATGGAGACCGTTAGTCACAAGGGACAGGATCGGCTCACACTGCCTGGCAGGCACAGTCTAGCAGAACTCGGCAGTGCTGGAAATGTCCTATTTCTGCATGTCAGTACGCCAGGCACCAGCACGGAGCTCTTGAAATGGGCCTCGTGCAACTGGAGATGGAGCGCTTTAGGATTTATTTCACGTTAAGTGATTAAACTTTCAACAGTCGCATGGGCAGTGGCCACGGTGTTGGTGTATCACAGAACACCAAACGTTCACTGGCTCATATAGCTAAACCATATAGGCCTGTTGGTGTATCGGATTCAGGTAAGGCTGGACCCAGGAATGAAAATTACATCATTTGGATCCAGCAGGGGACATGGAGGTTAAGGTGCTGGGTCCCACATGGCCAACTCCACAGTCGAGTCCCGGACCCGGTAGCTTGAAAAACATGCTGGGTGCATGTGTGCACATGCCCAGAATCCCAAGAGAAAAATGGCGAAGGGATTGCCACATGGCCATCCCCCTGGGGAGTGATTTCTCACTTTCCCTCTCTTTGTCTCTCTCCATTGAACACACATTGTCTATGGCAAAAAAGTATATAAAACAAAAAACATTAGGTCACCTGGCTTGGTCCTCCTCAGTGACACCTTGGTGCACAGGCAGGTTTTCACCATGTGACAGGCCAGGTGGCCGTGAGCTGCCCCCAGTCACTTCGTTGTCCCACAGTTGAACCTCACTAGTCTGGCCTATGTCAGTGCCTGGAACAGAGGGGTAGGAAGTCTTCTCATAGATGAGAACAGGGGGGCGGGGCGCCGGGGGGGGGGGGGGGGGGGGCGGCTGGGAGACAGGCTGACCCAGTCTGGCCACGTGTCCCAGACTGAGCTCCAGACCCCTGACTGCCACAGAGGGGTCAGCAGAACCTAAACAGAACCGTGCATTCCAGCAGGGCTCAGGTTGGAAGGAACCAAAGACTGTGAGGAGCAGAGAAAGTTGTAACTCCAGTGTGCCATGGAGACCGTTAGTCACAAGGGACAGGATCGGCTCACACTGCCTGGCAGGCACAGTCTAGCAGAACTCGGCAGTGCTGGAAATGTCCTATTTCTGCATGTCAGTACGCCAGGCACCAGCACGGAGCTCTTGAAATGGGCCTCGTGCAACTGGAGATGGAGCGCTTTAGGATTTATTTCACGTTAAGTGATTAAACTTTCAACAGTCGCATGGGCAGTGGCCACGGTGTTGGTGTATCACAGAACACCAAACGTTCACTGGCTCATATAGCTAAACCATATAGGCCTGTTGGTGTATCGGATTCAGGTAAGGCTGGACCCAGGAATGAAAATTACATCATTTGGATCCAGCAGGGGACATGGAGGTTAAGGTGCTGGGTCCCACATGGCCAACTCCACAGTCGAGTCCCGGACCCGGTAGCTTGAAAAACATGCTGGGTGCATGTGTGCACATGCCCAGAATCCCAAGAGAAAAATGGCGAAGGGATTGCCACATGGCCATCCCCCTGGGGAGTGATTTCTCACTTTCCCTCTCTTTGTCTCTCTCCATTGAACACACATTGTCTATGGCAAAAAAGTATATAAAACAAAAAACATTAGGTCACCTGGCTTGGTCCTCCTCAGTGACACCTTGGTGCACAGGCAGGTTTTCACCATGTGACAGGCCAGGTGGCCGTGAGCTGCCCCCAGTCACTTCGTTGTCCCACAGTTGAACCTCACTAGTCTGGCCTATGTCAGTGCCTGGAACAGAGGGGTAGGAAGTCTTCTCATAGATGAGAACAGGAGCGGGGTGGTTCTCCAGAAGAGAAGTGGGGTGGTGTTGCAGGAAGTAGCGTCAGGGAGAGGCCGTGTAGACAAGGCAGAACACACCCAGCCACCGTAGAAGAAGCACCCTGCGGTAAGTGCTGAGATACATCTTAGCTATCATCTCAGTGACGATAGCACACAATTTGAACTAGGAGTCTTAGAGCCAGCAGGAACAGTCCAGGAAACATAAGAGAAGCAGGCAGAGCCCGTCTCAGGGTGCACACGCCTAGCAGCGCGCCTCCGGTCTGGTATCGGGACACAGCCGGTGTGTCTCAGGGCAATATCCTGACCCGTGCAGACATTGCCCAACCCTCCTGGCACTGCTCACCAGGCCCAGCTGGGCCGTAGGAGCCTGCCGAGCACTCAGGCGACCTCTAGGACTGATCTACAACGGCACATGTTAAGAGACCCTTTTGTCATCTGCATCTTGTCTCCGTCTCTTCTTCCCCCGCTTCTGCATGAAGTCCCTCTTCTGTGCCCTGCCCAGCCTCTGACCTGAAGGGGGACTCTGGCTGGGACAGCTGGGGTGGGCAGGGAGCAGGTGCTCACTGGCCTCTCACAGTGTGTCTGGCATGTGTCTTCCACACCACTCCGGCTGACTTACTGTCTCCACTGGGCAAGTGGGGACACTGAGGCCAAGAGCAGGTCTCTCCTGGCGCATCTAGCAGGTGGTGATGACACTGAATTTGAGGATGGCTCTGTGTGACTCGGAGGCCTCCCAAGGAAGCTGGGCTTGCCGGAGGCCACCTTGAGGCAGAAGGCCTTCCCCCGGCCCAGCCCGATGGCCTGGCATCCATTCCTTCTTGCCTCCCACCCCTAATAGAAGCAAAGCTTGGGGATCCTTTTTAAACTAAACGTGATTCTGGGTGCCCTTCTGTAGAGTGAGGCGGGCAGCTGGGTCCACCCACACGGGAAAGGGGAGGCTTCTGAAAGAAGAGACCTCTGAGCTGAGTCTCGAACACACGGGAAAGGGGAGGCTTCTGAAAGAAGAAACCTTTGAGCTGAGTCTCGGAGGAGGAATTCGGGTGGCCAGGTAATGGACATGAGAGGACACGCCATAGCAAGAGCAAGGGCTTGGAAGCCGGGGCTGGAAGAGGCTCTGTGTGGCTGGGGAGGTTTCTGCGGTAGGAGGCAGGGTACTGTGGCGGGCCTTCTTCCTCAGAGCCACTTGTAGCGTCTTGAAGACCAAGGCCATCTGACTTGGCATAGACTGGTAGAGTAACTCAACAAAAAAGCGTTTGTGGGGTCAAGGGACAAACGTCAGACCACCCTGGGAAGACAGCGCTTCTGTCAGGGGACATGGCTGCGTTTCCACCAGTGGGGCCCTGCTACAGCCCTTGGTGACTTAGGTATAACTGCTCTTGGTCACTGTATCCATCCCAGCCCTAGTGGCTTCGTGAGGGCCAGCTGTCTGGGGAAGTAGTGGCTCTCAGAGGAACGAGCCAGGCCGAGACCTGAGGGAGAAGGCACGGTGGCATCTCGCCTTCCAGAAGGGAGAGGAACAGCACAGGAGTGGAGGGTCAGGAGTGGTGGGGAGGAAATGGCAGACGATGACACAGGAAAAGGGTTCAGGCAGACCGTGGAGGCCTGAGTGACCGGCTGGGCTTTATTCTAACAGCCCCAGAGCCCGTGCAACCTTGTGATTTAGATGAAAGCTTTAGAAACCCCACCTGAGTTGCTGGGCACCCCCACATGCCAAGTCCTGTGGAAACACAGGGGTAACCAAGCCGGGGCCTGTCTCGAGGCTCGCATGCTTGCAGGGAAAGACAAGAAACGCATGCAAGTTGTTGTCGTGTGAAGTCAGGTTCCCCCAGAGCAGCAAAGAGCACAGCAAGCTACGGTGGCGGGCTGGTGGGCTGTGCTGTGGGGTCGGCCTGTCCAAGGGGATGCCGCAGAGACGTGGAACAGCAAGGCTACTCGATCTAAGGAGGTGGAGGCCGGGGTGGACAAGCAGGAAGGTGGACGGAGGGCGTCTCACCATCTGGTAGCAGCAGAGGTGTGATCCAACCTCAGATTGGGATGGCTGCCCTATGACCACTGGCTTTCATGGAGTGGGAGTGGGCGCAGGTGCAGGGGCCAGGTAGGAGACAGCGTGGGCTAGATCCCTGTGGCAAGGAGCAGGGGGCAGGGTGGAGGCTGGTGCTGTAGGCGCACTGTATGCCATGCTGGGGGATCTGGGAGCTAGGCAAAAGGCGAAGTCTAGGACTTGGCGTCTCCATGGCAGGGGTGACACCTCACAGGTTTCGGTGAGGGAGGCTCTTCCCAGCTTTTCCTCTTTGGCTGAAGCACGGGTGGGGCTGCTAGGTGGAGGCGGCGCTCTGCCTCCTGCTGAGAGGAGATCCCGGATGTCCTGCTCCTGTTCCTCCTTCACCCCTGCCTTTCCAGCTTGGCCACTGGCAGGTATTCTCCAGGAGGCAGGCACTGCAGTTCAGAGATCGGCCACATGGGGGCAGCACAGAGCCAGGCTCCTCAGGGGACTTGGCCGGGGGAAGGGGTGACTCTCCAGGCTGCGGGGGTGTCTCCTGTACCTGGCGCCTTTCTTATCAGGCATGGTTGTGGTTAACTCCCAGTTCTGCCCCCAGGAACTCTGGGGCCCCAGGAAGCAGGTGTGGGGTACAGGTTCTTTTCTGGCATTGTCTTTGGCATCGAGGGAGGTAGAGTGTGCCAGATGCCTGGCATACACACACACACAGAAGGCCAGGTCTCCCCTCATGGCCTCCACCAAGCTCTGACCCTGGACCCTGCTCGCTCCCTGGCATGCACACGCCCTGCCTCGTATCCCACCTACACACATCTACCCCTCCCTGCTTGTTCCTGCGCGCCCTGGCTGGAAGGCCCTTCCTTGGATCTCTGCATCTTCCTTCCCCGGCCCACTCAGAGTCATCGCTTTCCTGAAGCCTGAGTGCCCTCCCTGTCGTGTGCCATCCCTGCCTCCGCGTATCCTGCCCACCTCCTGGTTGCTTGGTCCTTCCTACCCCTGCTTCAGAGGGGAGAGGGTGGCTGCTTTAACGCGGGCCTGGCCTGGGCCACAGCGAGTGCCAGGGAGGTGCTTGTGCCAGTGCCAGTCCCAGGTGCTGTGATCGAGGGAGGGCTGCTCACTTCTGACCCTGCTCTGTCTCACACAGGCCACCTACATCTACATGAAGGCCGCCTACCTCAGCATGTTCGGGAAGGAGGACTACAAGCCGTTCGGGGATGACGAAGTGGAGTTATTTAGGTGGGTCCCCTCCTCGTGCTCTCATCGTAGGCCCTCTGGGGATAGATCAGCCAGGTTCTGCCCATACCACCTGGAGCTGTGGGCACTAGGGCGGTGGTGGCGTGGTGGCTTCCCAGGGCCCTAAGCTCCCTGCCCCAGGTCACGCCATGTACTCATCACCACCCCTGCTGCTTGCTGCTTGCTTGGTTGGTAAGACAGGTGTGGATGCTGTGGTCCAGGAGGGGAGGGCTCCGTTGTGCTGAGTGTACCTGGTGCCCTCAGGCACAGCAGAGGGCCCTCAGCTGGAGTCAAGCAGGATAAACCCAGCCCCTGCCCTGTCATAGCTGTGTCAGCTTGGATGATTCCAGGGCCGAGCCTTTGCCTGGCAGGGTTGTTTTGCAAATCTGGATAATTCTTTAAAGAGGCTGGCTTAGGAGCTGCAGCCCAGGAAGTTGTCCCCTCAGGGGTGGCTGTTTTCATCCTTATCTGCACCAGCCTTTGTCTCCACAAAGGTCTTTAGAGCAGAGCTCAGCCTGGCACCTAGTGCTTCCCCAGTCATGGCAAGGCTAGCCCTAGTTTGCAGACCTGGAGGTGGCTGCAGTGGGAGCTTCCTGGGCTGCCACTGTCACAGTGACGGGACGTCGATCTCATGCAGAGTGCCTGCTGCTGCAGCAAACACCATGTCCCCATCTCACATAACTCCTCCAGAAAGCCTGTAGGGGTAGGTGTCACAACCTTCCTTTAGAGATGAGGAGATCCAGGCTAGCGAGATCAGCAGGGAGGAAGTTTGCAGGGACCTCACATCCAACTGTGTCCTGAGGCTAAACGGCCACACCCAGAAACTATGGCAGAATTGGAGGGTGGGTGAGGCCCGCTTTGGCCACGCACATTTGGCTCCATCCTGGAGACGGTGGAGGCGGTCAGAACTCAGAGGCCAGAGCTAATTGAGGGTTTGAGCTGTTTGATCATGAGTAGGTCCCACCCCTTTTCTGGGTGTCAGTCTCCCCTGTGAAACTGGGATTAGACTTGTCTTGAGCCTCCTGGGAAATGGGGTCTGAGAGTGGAGGAGAGATACTGGGAGGTAGGGCAGGCCGACAGGTGTTTGGGTACAGTCTCACCTCTGCCAGCGGGAGTAGAGAAGCCTTGCCTCACCACAGGCAGTGGCCACGTTTGGGGCAGGGCCCTTGCAGTAAACCATAGCCATAGGGTGTGTGAGACCCAGAAAGGACTCATCATGCAGATGGGAAAACGGAGGCCCAGACACAAGTTGAGCCAAGGCTGCAGACCCTCAGCCCTCTCTTGCTTTTTCCTACTCCCTGCACTCCCCATCTCTTTTGCAGAGCTGTGCCAGGCCTGAAGCTCAAGATTGCTGGGAAATCTCTACCCACAGAGAAGTTTGCCATCCGCAAGTCCAGACGCTACCTCTCCCCCAACCCCGTCTCGTTGCCAATCCCTGCTCTGGTGGGTAGCAAGGTCTCCTTCCGGTTTAGGATTGTGGGGATTAGCTGAGAGCCGGAAGTGGATGAGGGAGAAGTTGCCGCATGCCTTCAGGGCCTAGAAAGGGCTTCACAGTTCACCTGAGACTAGGGAGAGGCACACAGATGAGTCTGGCCCAGTTTTGCCCCCTAGAAGGTGCTGGTCCGGCAGGCGTGGGGAGACAGGTAGTAGGCCACAGCCCTTTTCTCCTAGGCAGCCACACCCGGCCCCAGGCAGAGGCGTCACCCCGTCTGTGTTCCCAGCCTGTTGGTTTCCGTCTAGCTTGGTCTATCTTGATGATTATGATTGTTGTTTACACTGTTCTCCTCGTCCACCAACTTTTCTGAGGCCTGGGACCACCAATTCACGGCTGAATCCACAATACGAGCCAGCGTCGTCGCTGGGCACGCCAAGGCTCCTGTTGCCTTTTTCCTCCCTGAACCTCACACCCACCATCTGAGTGGCATCCCCATTTTACAGATGAGGGTGATAGGCCTGAGAGAAGTAGAAAGTAAAATCAAGTATCCAGGTCAACCAGGGAGGTGGTGAGTCGGAATTTGAACTTGGCACTCTGGCTCCGTGGCCATATTCTGAGCTGTGGCCATGACACTCATTCCATGCATGACTGGAGCAGGTATTAGAGTAGATCTCAGTTTGCTGAGAGTTTTTGTTACTCAAGTAGTAAGACAGCCAGAAAATTAGTAAGTAGTAAGACAACCAGAAAACTAGTAAGTAGTAAGACAGCCAGAAAATTAGGAGGAGTTCTGCTTCTGAGACCTTTTTCTGGTCTTGGCTTAAATCGGTTCCCTCTTTGCTTCATGTAAAATGGGCCTTGCCCACATCCTAACTAACAGCAGTATTTCTTTAGTGTAAAATGGTCTGTAGAATATTTACCCTGCCTGTATTTGAGAATCAACTGATAAAATATGTTAAACACTTTATAAATTTAAAAGTTTGATATTTATGTAGAATTTTATTTAGAGCCCATATCCTGAATATTTCCAAAGAATATTTAAACTAGATAGTGAAGATATTACTATCAAATGAAGGAGGGAGACATTGTAGGAAGAATGGGGAAGGAACTCTACCAAAAATGTAGGGGTGATTTTCCCAAACTCCAAAATGTTATTTCTGTATAAAGTGATTTCTGTGATTAAATATATTTGGAAAGATGGCTTAAAGTTCATCTAATGTAGACTTCATATGCTAATCTGCATGGTGAGTCTGCAAGAAGCTTAATATGTGG